TAGTGAGACCCTGTAAACCCTTACTAAAATACAAAACATAAAAAATAAAAAATAATTAAATATTTCCTTCAGTAGGCATATACAAACAATGCTCAGATAAAACCTAAAGAACATTTAAAGGACCAGTATCAAATGTTACTGAGAATGTGAGGCAACCATAATTCTCATGTTGCTGACAGAAGTAAACTTTCTTTTTTTGTGTTTTTGAGACAGGGTCTTGCTATACACTCAGGCTGGGCTTGAGCTCACTTTGTAGCCCAGGTCTTGAACTTGCCACAATCCTCCTGCCTCAACCTACTGAACGCTGGGATCATAAGCAAGCACCACCATGCTTGGCCCTTGAGAGAGGTATAAAGTTCCAAAACCATTTGGAGAATTCTAGAAATTACTAACTTAAACATAAATCTACATTTATGTACCAATCCTACACCCGTATTTGTGTCCAAAATAAAAGGAAATTTCCTTAAGTTCTACAATAAAGTCAGAGAGATACCCAGAAATCAGGGCAGAAACACTGTTCAAGATCAAGGTTCTAAAAGTAACATGGAAAAGTTCGTTCCATTGCTATGCGGAAAATAATAATCACATCAATGTGGACAGCCAGATCTGACAGAACTGCTACAGGTTGGGAGATTCCTCAGAGTGCTGTGAAAGCTGAGCCATGGATAGCAGGAATAACAAGATGCAAGAAACAGTGGAGAGCAGCTGGGTAGAACTTATGCATTAATTATAAATTGCTGCTGAGTTTAAAACAAAACTAATAGCGTAAGTCAAATAATAGGAAACTATCTGTATAAGAGCTAAAGGAAAGAATACTAGGGTAACTCCAAGGCACCACGGGACAGGGTGGGGGGGGACGACTTGAGAGTAGGGTTTGCATTAATTTAGGTATTCTGGGTTGTGGCTGGAGCTCTGTTCTCCATACTCTCACTCCCAGCCGAAACTTCCCATTGTCTCTGACATATATTTTTGCATTCTGAAAACCAAAGAATAAATGACTGTTTTTTCAGAAATACAGTATTAGAAGGTCTAGATGTCAAACTACAGAAGAGTATTCTTTCACATGCCAAAAAATACAATACATTATTCTCTTCCCCTGGGGAGTAGTAGACACAGAAGAAGTCAGCGATTCCTGGCTGTAAACTCCACTTTCACTGTAAGAGCTGATGTTGGGAGAGGAAGATCGAGATGGGGAGTCCATGGTCAAGTCAAGCTTCATGGCAGAATCCGGGCTTTCAATATCAGAAGTGCTGCCACTCAGTTTTGCTCTTTTCTTAGCAGCGCTATTTCGAAGAGACCTAAGAGAGCTCTGCATCTAAGAAAAAAATAAAAATAACTTCATGAGCCAACATAATCTTTGTATTAGTAAAAGTGATCTGTGGATTTAAACTCTACTACATAGCTAGCTATATAGTTTCTCAATCCAGTGCTATGAAGATGGATGCCAACACGTATGTGTGTACACTGTATGAAAACACAGACCTTATTTCCTGGATATACATAAACAATCTAGGTTCTTAGATCCATGAGAGGAAAAATTCTAGCCATTATTTGCCATGACAATTTTGGCACCAGAAACAATGATTCAATTAATATATTCAATTCTCTAATAAATAATAAAATCAGATGGTAGGTATCAGAATTAAAGTTAGAGATGCATAGCTAATTTCAGCTCCCTGGTGTGCTAAGGTTGCTACTTAGAAATTCTAGGATGCAAACAAGAAGTTTGACAGTTAGATCTAATTTGCAAATGTTTAAGAGTTCAGAGAATAACAGACTACTGCATATAACTTTTGAAGCCAACTATTTTTAGAAATGCAGGAAATTATTCTAGACCAATGTATTAAGTCTGGGAATAGAATCTTGAAAATGTTTTTAAAATCAAGATCGTGACTTTTTTTGTTTGTATTTCAACTGTTAAAGTTAAGCATTTAATGAAAGTATCTGCCTTTAATCAAAGAAACATCTATAAATTTTGTGTGTTTCACACTTACAAAAAGATAGGTTTGACAAACTTTTTAATGACATTTTGGCACTGAAAACCAAAGTGAACACAGAGTTATTTCAACTGAACTTGAATTGTAGCCCATCACTTACTTTTCCACCCTGAGCAAGGTAATAACATCTCTGACTCTCTTCTGTAAAAACAAACACACATAAAAAGTAAAAATATAGATACTGTGTTGTCTAACTCAGGGTGTGGTGTTGCTGTAATGAAAATGAACCTGTATATTACTAACCGTAATATCAAAATACATGTAAAATGTAGTACTACTAAACTGAAAATGTTGACTATTAATACACTTTTCTTATAATAAGAGTGCAACTCTAATCCATAAGAGCCATAATAACTTTCTTTCTCTCTCTTTTTAAATTCTTTTTGGTTTTTGAGACAGGAGCTCACTGTGTAGTTCAGGGTGGCCTTGAAGTGACTATGTAGCCCAGGCTGGCCTCAAACTCGCTATGACCCTCCTGCTTCAACCTCCCAAGTGGTGGGATTTTTGGCATTTGCCATCACACCCAGCTTCAGTATGACTTTTTTTTTTTGTGGTACTGGGGATTGAACTCAGAACCCTGTGCTTGCCAGGCAAGCGCTTATTCCACTGAGCCATCTCCCCGGCCCTTCATTATGACTTTCTTAAAGTCACATCAAAACAATAAGTAAGAATTGCTATGTTAGCAACTAAAAGGCAGGATGTGCAATTTTAATCAATTGCACTGGTAGATTCAATGATAGGCCTAGGCCCTTCTCCCTATTAAAAGCTTAGAAGATCAAATGTCTAAAGACAATAGTACACTTCTGTGTTAATAATTATATAAGAGAAACTCACCTTACAATTTTCTACTAAAAGAAAAAAAAGACAACAGAAAAACAATGCAAGAACATGTAAGATTAGGTGAAACTGTATGAGTTTCGTAGGAAAACGCCTTTTCTATATATTTCTTTCCTTCAAATAAAATTCCTTCCCAGTATCACAGTAATACAATGAGTTAGAAAAGACAAAAACCAAGTAAAGATTTCACAAACAACAATTAGAAGTTGGAATAACTAATTGTTCAGAACCACCTTTGGTACTTTCTAAGTTTTATGCATGCTTAATATTAAAGATAATTTTAAATGACTATGCATTAAAATTAACTCTAAGCAAACTATCAGCATAGGATGCTTCCATCTGAAAAACAGGCTAAAGCAAAATCATTTAAAAATCATAATTATTTCTGTTTATATATAACAGCTTTTGGTTTTTGAGACATGGTCTCTGCCACATGGACAAACTGGCCTCAACGTTAGCATCCTCCTGCCTCAGTCTCTTGGACTGCTAGGGTTATTGGCGCGTGCCATTATACCTAATTTAACTTTTCATGTTTACAAACAGGCCTACAATGAATAGCCATGTGCATGTCTTCTTGTATTCTGCCATCATGTTTGGCATGTAAAGCCATTTTCTGACATATGAAATTAGGAAAACTAAAATATGAAATAGCACCCTAAATTAAAAACAAACAAGCAGGAACCATGCTATGTCTCTGACATAATTAGTACGTACAAAGTTATACTGATAACTCTTTTTTTCTTTTTAAGACAGGGTATTAAGGATGGCCAGATAGCTCAGGGGACTAAAGCGCTTGCTTAGACAGAGTACAGTGGCCGGAGTTTGATCCCCAGCGTGCCATGCCAGCATTGCCCCAGGGGCGTGCTGTGACAGTAATTGAGACCAATATGGTGGTGTGCACCTGTAATCCCAGTGCTTGGGAGGCTGAAAACAGGAGAATCACTAGAGTCCAGTCTACATAGTGAAACCCTGTAGACCTTGTACCAAATACATACCAAAAAAAGGGATGTTGTTTGTAGTGCAGGCTGGCCTTGAATTCATTACACAGCCCAGGCTGGCCTCGAACTCCAGGTAGTCCCTTTGTCTCAGCCTCCTGAGTGCTGGGATTACAGGTGTGTACCACCATGCCTGGCCTGACAACACATTTTGATTCCATAAATAGCATAATGTAGAATTCAAAAATGAATATACAATATGACCTCAATTTCATAAAGATAAAAAAAAAATTACAGATATGCACAATGCTCAGGCTTAAGAACGTTAACTGTAGCATTATATAGCAAGGCTCCAATAACTGTATTGTGGATAGGAACAAATTAATTGTATGAATGTACAAGTAACACAGAAAAA